AGCTCTGCAATGACTGATTTGATCTTGGCAAGATAAGCTATCATGGAGGGCTCTTTGGCCTCATAGCTGCCACTGATCTGATATGCAACTAGCTGAGAGTCTGTTTTTAAGCAGACATGATCGGCTTCCAAGGAGATGCATAATTGTAGGCCGGCGATTGCTGCCTCATATTCGGCTTCATTGTTCGAGGCCTTAAAAGAAAATTTTAGTGCATACTCAAAGGATTGGCCTTCGGGAGAAGTTATCACTACTCCTGCCCCCGAACCGTTTTCGGTGGAAGACCCATCCGTAAACACGGTCCAGACTTTCTTTTCACTGTCCAGCACTTCTTGGTATGAGCATTCGGCCAAGAAATCCGCCAGGGCTTGAGCCTTAATGGCAGCCCTCGGACGGTAGCTGATGCTGAATTCGGTGAGCTCAAAAGCCCACTTGGCTAGCCTACCGGATTTTTCAACCTTGCCAAGAACTTTTTCCAATGGCTGATCAGTTAAGACCACTATCTGATGGCAATCAAAATAGGGCCTCAGCTTCCGAGCAGCTACTACTACCGCGAAAGCAACTTTCTCGAGTAGAGGATAGCGGGTCTCGGCATCCGTCAGTGTATGACTGACGACATAAATCGGTTGCTGACTCTTACTCTCTTCCCTCAGCAATACTGCGCTGATGGTGGCCGGGCTCACGGCCACATATAGGTATAGAATTTCTCCTTCAACTGGGCTAGCCAGCGTTGGGAGTTGAGCCAGATGCTCCCGAAGCTGTTGAAAGGCGTCTTTTTGCTCTTCCTCCCAAACAAGCTCTTTTGTTTTCGGGAGTTTCAGGGCTTTGAAGAAGGGTAACCCCTTATCCGAAGCTCTGGAAATGAACCTCGAGAGGGCTGCCATTCTTCCGGTGAGCCGCTGAACATCCCGCTTTGTTTTCGGCTCAGGAAGGTCGAGCGCCGCTTTGACTTTAGAGGGATTGGCATCAATCCCCCTTTTGCTGACCATGAAACCCAGGAATTTCCCTGACTTCACGCCGAAGACACACTTCTTCGGATTCAGCTTCATTTGATGCTTTCTCAAGGTGGCGAAAGTTTCAGCCAGGTCTTTTACATGGTCCTCTAGTTTTCTGCTTTTGACGATCGAATCGTCAACATAGACTTCCATGTTTCGGCCCTTTTGATCGGCGAAAACTTGATCCACCAGCCTTTGATAGGTTGCCCCCGCATTTTTCAATCCGAAGGGCATCATTTTGTAATTATACACCCCAGCGTTCGTGACGAATGCTGTCTTGGCTCGATCGTCGGGGTGCATAAAGATCTGATGATACCCGAGAATGCGTCCATGAAACTAAGCAAGGCATGGCCACTTGTCGAATCGACCAGCTGATCGATTCTTGGCAAGGGATAGAAATCCTTTGGACAAGCCTTATTTAGGTCCGTGAAATCAACGCACATCCTCCAGGTACCATTGGGCTTCTGAACCATCACCACATTTGCCAGCCATTCCGGATATTGGCAAGGTTCAATGAACCCTGCCTCCAATAATTTTTTGACTTCGGCTGCGATGTCTCGGTTCTTATTGGCGGAGTAATTCCGCTTCTTTTGCTTAACTGGTCGACACGCTGGGTCAACATTAAGCTTATGGGAGATGAGGTCTGAACTTATCCCGGGCATATCAGCTGCCGAGGAAGCAAACACATCTCTGTTATCCCGAAGGAGCTGAATAAGTTCACAACGGGTGTTAGGATCAAGGTCCATCCCGATTGTTACACATTTCTCAGCATCTCCTTCGGCCAACTCAACTGTTTCAGTCTGTTGGTCCATGTCCATTGCCGAGGGACTGGACTCTTCAGAATCTGGTCTGCTGCCAATGTCAGCAGGTGTCCCAGTCTTTGTGTTCTTCGGCTGGCTCTCTGAGTCTTGCGGCTCAGCTGAAGAGTCAACCTTTTCCCTTTCGGGACCTTTTTCTCTGGGCACGGATCCTTGGGCCGAAGCACTTAGGCCTTTCGGCTTTTTTGTGCTTGGCTCTCTTTCTTTTTCTTTCTCCTCCTCATCCTTGTCGTTATCTGGGCGACTACTGGATGGCTTGAGGTAGTTGCACCTTCGGGCGTCCTTTTGGTTGCCCTGTATCCTTTCGGGGAAGCCGGCGTCTGAGACGTAAATCATCAGCTGATGATAAGTTGAGACGACCCCTTGGATCTCGTGAATTATGGGTCTCCCCAAAATCACGTTGTACACTGAAGGAGCGTCGATGACCAAAAACTCAATCATGACGTTCCGGGCTGCCTCATCGCAACCGATGGTGACAGGAAGTGTCACCTTCCCATCTGGATAAGTTGAAGCCCCATTGAACCCGGATACCGGATAGGGTACCGGCGTAAGGTGCTTGGGCTTCAGCTTAATTTGGTTGTAGGCCTTTCGGAACAGAATGTTTGCTCCGCTGCCACCGTCAACAAGGACCTTACTGACGTCGTGGTTGGCCACCGTGGCGATGATCACCAACGGATCCTCGTGAGGGAACGTAATCCCCCGGCAGTCGGCGGCTGTGAACGTCATGTTCGGCACCGGCGACTGGGGAGCTTGAATGTCAGCGTTGTTCACCTGGTGAGTCAAAGCTCTAAGGTGACGCTTGTGCTCCCTCCGAGAGTATATTCCTCCCGAGATAACATTGATCGGAGGGAATTTCCCCTCCGGTTTTTTACTGTTTTTCCGGGGGAAATCAAGGTCCTGCCGAGGGTCCTTTGCTAGCCTCTCGGATTCTTTTTTCTCGCGGTGATCCGCGATGTATTTTTTCAAGTATCCCTTCCGGACCATGTCCTCTATCTGGTCCTTCAGCTGGATACACTCTTCAGTGTTGTGGCCCGAAGACTCGTGGAACTCACACCACTGATTTTTATTTTTTCGCTGATACCACTCTGGGAGTGGTCTCGGCTTTCGGTAACTCTGCTCCTCCTTCGTCACACTGTAAATTTTGGCGCGTGGAAGAGAGAGCGGAGTGTAGGACTCGTATCTGCCTGTGTATGAGGCAAACCTGTCCTTCTTTAGGTCGTTGGCCGGAGATGGCTCCGGAGCCTTTGATTTTCCCTTTGCCTTATGGCCTTGGCCTTCAGACAAGGGTATTTGCCTCTGTTTCCCTCCCCCGGATTGAGGTTGGGTTTTTGCTTTATTCCATTCTTCGGCTCGGATGAACTTATCCGAAGCACTAAGAGCTTCCTCCAAAGTCTGCGGGGTATGCATGACCATGAAGTCTAGGAATTTTCCTGGCTGAAGGCCATTCTGCATTGCAAAAACAGCTAGCCCCTGGTCCAGCTGGGAGACGCTTGATGACTCGTTACTGAAACGGGTCAGGTAGTCTCGGAGGCTTTCGGTTTCCCCCTGTTGCAGACTCATGAGCTCTGCGGTAGTCTTCTCTCGGCGGTTTGCCGTGGAAAACTTGCTCCTGAACTTGGAGGACAGATCATCCCAACCTGTTATGGAGCCTTGCCTTACTCCCTTGGAGATCCACGCTTGCGCGACCCCCTTGAGAGTGGTTGGGAAATATTTGCACCAAGTCGCCTCGGATCTGGGGCAAAGATGCATATGAGTCTCATACGAGGCCACGTGGTCCTTCGGATCCGTGGTCCCGTCATATGTGATATGCGACGGTATTTTAACCGTGGGAACGCGCTCTTCCAGTATCCATTGCTCGAATGGTGAACTAGCGGGTAGCATAATTGCCTTGCCCTTGTTCCTGGCCGAAGGGACCGCGCTCCGCCCTCTTAGAGAGGTAGGAGTGGTTTTCGTCCCTGGCTGGGAAGTCTGGGCCTCGGCTGCAGGGAACGAGAGGCGACTACGCACGCTCGGTTCCTGGCCGCCGAGTCGGTCAAGGACACTTCTGCGAACAGTCTCAGGTTCCCGGCGAGTAGATTCTGGCCGAGAAGCTGAGCTGCTGCTCTTATGCGCTGCTGGTCTTGAGGATGAGGATCCTTTAAATAATTGAGAGTTCTTTTTCCTCCGTTTTTCATTTTTCCAAGAATCCTCCTCCCACTCTTCCAGTTCCCGGAAGGAAGGAAGCTTCCCACCGTCATGGTCTAACTTCCTCCGCTGATGGCGGGTATGCGGAGGAGTTCGATCACGAGGCGGTGGCATATTCTGTGCCCTCATTGCCTCCATGAGTACTGCCAGCGCTCTTGCCACCTCTTCCGAACTGGGCCCCGTCAAAGGGGTCCCCGGCCGAGTGTGGTAATGAGGCCGTGCAGCCGATGGTTGGCTTTGGGACACTGAATATGTCCTATGATCAGACTGACCCCTGCTAGACCGAGAGTGGTCCGGCCTATATTGAGAGTCATGCATTATAGGAGATAGGGAATCCTCCTTGTGTGATCCTCCCCCCGAGCCGGCACCCTTGGGAGAGTTCCGGTCCGGCGAGGACGATGGTGTAGGGGTTTTAGGCTTTTCGCCCGCTCCTTGACGGAGGCTTTTGCTCTTGCGGTTCTTAGCCATGGCTGCTAAGATAATTGCAAGATGATCTTGGTTAGGAATTTGGCTTAAAGATTTTTGAAAGTCTTCCCCACAGACGGCGCCAAATTGTTTCGGTTGAAAACAATGGGACCTTGCCGAAGGTCCACTGAAATGGAGAAGACTGGATTCGATCCAAGTTGTGTTGGGCCGAAGGTTTCCTGCACAGTGAACACACGTAAACTAGCCTCGGGGGTGTTTCCGAGGAAGGCCCCTCCGATGCTAAAGTCAGTACAATGTGTAAAAGGAGGACACTATGCAAGAGAGTTTGTAGCTTGAGGCTTTGGTGGAATATTTCTGAATGCAAGAATGAGCATATGGATTGGAATATCCATCTCTTTTTGTGAATGTGTCAATATGATGGATTTTATACCTCATCATACATGGAGAGGTTGGGCTTTAGCCCAATTGGCTTACTTTGTGGGCTGACCTTTGACTTTTGAGCAATTGGAGAGTTGAACCTTGACCTTGGGCTTTTAATTGGATCATTTAGTGCTTAGGCCCAATTTTGACTAAATTGGACCCAAACAACAGTAATAATCGACATCGATCCAACCAGCCCAATCGGGATATCCCTCGAGGGTTTCTTAGTTTCTTCAGCCATGGTAGCAACCATATCAAACCCTGTATAAGACCAATACACAACAGCAGCAGCCTGAAACACCCCTTTGGCCCCAAATGGAAAGAACGGTGTTAAATTCTCAGTTTTCGAGTGAACAAACCCAACCACAATGATGAAAACAATCACTAATGCACTCAACACAGAAGCTAACCAATTCAAAAACGACGTCCGCCTAGTTCCAGACATAGCAATACCATTAGCAACCAACAGCACAATTACAGCAATAGGATCAAGCAGATTAAACCCTTCAGCAAAGGAATCAACTCGAATTCGCAAAAAATCAGAATCATTCTTAATCATACTAGCAAAATAAGAAGACCGTGATCTGCCTAATCCTGCAGCACCAACAATAGCTTCAAGCAAAATATTACTAGCAGCAATAAAAGCAATAAAATCACCCAATTCAATTCTAAGAAAAGAGAAAGAACCACCAGCAACAGGAACTTCATCAGTAAATTCAGTGTAACAAAAAGCAGATAATAATGCAGAAAACCCAGAAATTGCATACGACAGTAAAATTGCTGGGCCTGCATGATTATGGGCTTCTTGACCCGTAATACTGAAAATACCGGACCCGACAACAGACCCGAAACTTAGCCATATAAGATCCCACCATGTTAAACATTTGTTCATGGGATTTACACTCTCTTTCTTCAACTCAACGAGTTCGAAAGAATCAGAAGAACGACTCAGTAATCTGTCTTTGAGACGTGGGAAAATCTGGGAAAGTGCAGATTTGTAATCTGACAAAGAATTGAAGGAAATTTCTGGGAAAAAGTCGTGTTTTTTCCATGTCCAATAGCTTGAGTTAGGTGATTGTTCATCAATGGCGGCTGAAGAGGACGCCATTAGAAGTGGGGTTTTTTGAGGAGAGAGATTTGTGGGATATTGGGATTTGGGTATTTGACTCATATTCAAAGCAATTTAATTTATATATATAGGTTGTGATTGGATTTCTGAGATAGAAAATTGGGGAGTTTTGAAATGAGTCAATTTTTTTGCTAAGATTATTGCCTTATTGGACTGTTAGAGTCAAATTCTGGGTTGGAGACTGGTGTTATGTGTGTGGTGGTGTTTTGTTCGGCCCGTTTCAAGTTTGTTACGTGGTTTTTTTATTTGGTTATTTCACCAAATGTCATTGAGTATTTAAAAAATTTACTAAATGTCATTGTGTTTTTCAAAATTTACCAAATGTCATTAAGGTTTAGTACAATATCACCAAATGTTATTTTCGTTAGGTGACCGTCACTGTCCGTTAGTTGACCGTTAGTTGACCCCACCACTTGTCACGTATCACCTTAAGAATGGTCCGTTTTTTAAAAGAAAATAATTAAACAAAAAATAAAATAAAATAAAATAAAAACAAAATTATTTAAAAAAAAAATAAAAAAAAAACCCCAAACCCCAGCCACCAGCCCAGCCATCCCTTGCCGCTGAAACCAGCACCGGAGGCGCGTCGGCGGCCGGCGGACCCCTACCCCTCTCCTCTCTCTCTCCTCCCCTTTCCCCGTCGCGCCACCTACCCTAGCCCAAACCCCTAACCCGCGAAACCCCACCCCCCTTCCTCTCCCTCTCCGATTTTCGGCCACCTAACATGAATCGCCTGACATTGAGTATAAACAAACGACAACGTTTTATTGAAAGTCTGAGGAGGCGTCAACCATTGAAGAGCAGAAGAATTAGGCGAAGTTTGAAAAGAAACCAGAATCTTGGATTGATCAGAGAGAGTAACTGTGAGAAGAGCACCTTTAATAGGGTCGATTTCAGAGGAAAGAGAAAATGGAATTGGGGAATTGGTATTAGGGTCGACGATGGAGGTGATGGAAAGAGCGCGAGTATCGAGGGAGAGGTCGCCGGAGAAAGGGGAGGAGAGAGAGAGGAGAGGGGTGGGGGTGGGGGTGGGGTCCGCCGGCTGCCGACGCGCCTTCCGGTACTGGCTTTGGCGGCAAGGGATGGCTGGGCTGGTGGCTGGGGGTTGGGGCTTTTTTTTTACTCCCTCCGCCCGTGAATATCTGCAACAAATGCCAAAAATGGATGCTTCTAATATCTACAACAAATTTTTTTATTTCCTTTTTTGGTAATATCTAACTATTAATTACCCACTATTACCCACTTTTTGGTTAGTGGTCCCCTCCACCACCTATTACCCACTACCTAAAACCCACTACAAATATTTGTGTTCACACTACAAATACCAAATATACCCTTATTTTTCAACACTTAAATGTTTAGTTTATATATATCATCATATGGGTAATTTTGTATTTTTACCTTTCTCTCTCATTCATTAAACCCACCAAAACTCAATTAACACTCCCCTTAAAGTTTTTCCTAGGATTCCGAAAATATGTCCTTTGTTGCAGATATTCACGGGCGGAGGGAGTATTATTATTATTTTAAATATTTTTGTTTTTTTTAATTTTTTAAATTTTTGTTTAATTTTTTTTTAAAAACGGACCAATCATAAGGTGACACGTGGCAAGTGGTGGGGTCAACTAACGGTCAACTAACGGACACTGACGGGTCAACTAACGAAAATGAGATTTTGTGATATTGTCCCTAAACCTCAGTGACATTTGGTGAATTTTGGAAAACACGATGGCATTTGGTGAATATTTTAGTATTCAGTGGCATTTGGTGAAATAGCCATTTTTTATTTAATGATTGGAAATATTGGGATGAAGAGTTAAGACCCAAGATTCTAGGGTTGTTGCTAAATATAAAAAGGAGGGTGGATATTGAGAGAGGATAAATGGACTATGTATCTAGCCACTATTCGAGTATTATTCAAGGCTGATTCGTTATCATTTTCTGATTCTAGGTTCGTATTTTTCTAACCATTTCTAAAAGGAAAATGTTATATATAACTTAAGTGCGATGTACATTGTACAAGAAGCTAAAAGAGAAATGTGTTAATGAAATATATTCCTTTTTTTTCATTAATTACACTGATTTGCACATGATTTTTTCATGCAATTCTAAACTAACACTCCCTAGGTTTACTAATTGAGCAAGTGGCCTCCTACGGCCCAAAGTTCCAAGCAAAGCCCTAGGTTTACTAAAACCTAGTGTTGGGCACGTTTTCTAACACCCTATAAAAGGGAGATGTTTCCCTCTTGGGAACATCTATTCGGAAAATTCCATACACATTAACTCTACATCAGAGTAAGTTAGACACCTGACACCCCAAACCGAGCAATTACACATTGCAGATTCTTTCTTGGAATTCGAGAGAGACCCTTTACTTTCCGCACTTTACCCTCAAACACGTTCTAACTTGATCGTCGGATGCGGAGCTAATTTAGCACCGGTTCAAACCCCCCATTTAGCACCAGTTTTGAACCGGTCCTGATTTGGGGGGTGCTAAAACCCCATACATTTCGCACCGGTTCAAAACCGGTGCGAAATTAGACTTTAGCACCGGTTCTAGGAGAGAACCGGTGCCAAAAACCGGACTTTTAGCACCGGTTTTGACTTAGAACCGGTGCCAAAAGTCCCAAAAATTATTTTAAAAAAAACTTTTAGCACCGGGTTTTTACCAAAACCGGTGCCAAAAATACCCTAAAAATTTTAAATTTTTTTTTTTTTTTTTTTTTCACTTAAATTATACCAAATACTTATATATAATCATAATATACATAAATCACATATATTTTCTTCAATAACTTGTAATATTACACTTTAAAAAACTGAAGAAAAAAAAATACAAAGTACACATGTGATTACACTCATTCCCTCCTTATTCCCTTCAGGTACTCCAAGAAATCCATCTGCCAGGCAGTAGCACCCAGTCAACAACAGCCAACCAGCCTGCAGTAACCAGGCAACAACAGCCATCCCAACACATACAAACACACACATGTAAGAAGTAGCACATTAACCAACAGCAGCTAGCATCATAGTTATTACTAGACAACATTGTCACTTTATATATTCAAATAAGCAATCAACTGTAATAAATATATATTGAAGGTTAAAAAGGCCAAAAGAAAACCCAAAAAAAATAATAAAAAAAAAAGTTGGCAGAAAGCATATGGAAGGCAGCAGCCAAACAAGCTTCAATTCCACCCAAGAAGAGGAAAACAGCAGCAACGAGCCCCTAAGCCAAAGCAAACCAGCAAAAGGAAGCCAAGCAACAACAAAAGATGATGGCTAGAAGATTCCTGGTAGAGACACAACAAAAGTCCTCTAACTAATTCATCACCAGGTAGTACTGCATCAATACTAAGACCATCATACCAACAGTAGGGTCCTACCTTCTTACATGGATTGCGTCTCATAATATATAACCACTCCCATTATATAGTTCTATTTTCTTTAACAGCATATTTATCTATGTTAAAGTGTCCTACACGTTTATTAGAAAGCATTACACCAGAGATAGACACTGCAAAAGTCCATTAAATATTTTGAAAGGTCTGTTGTTAAAATCAAAAGATCCCAAGCAATGCTGATTCTGGGAATATGGTGTCTTTTAAAATTTCATTAAGTGCAGCAAGCGATAAAACACACAACCAGCAGGTCAGAATCTTAAGATAGTAAGAGCTGGGCTAAAACTATAAACTTGATACTTACACTGACAAACTCTTATGAGTAAACACACCAATTGTATTGCGCCCATTTGAACAATCCAAATCAACCTGTTAAATAGATATAAAAAATTAATTCGTAAATAGCCACTTACCTAACCTGGGGAAAAGCAGTATAGATTACCAAAATTACAAGGGGATTGTAACAAATTAATCAAAGCACTACTTCAATTGTACTATCTTTACTCTGGGAGAATCGTTAGAACTTAGAACTTTAGAAGTGATACTAGGAATAATTTGTATAACACTCATCGACACACACTCCCCTACAATACCATCAACTGCACGAACTACAGGGTAAAATAACTCAACCAACTGTTGAACCTTTGTCCTGTCCCTTAAAAAATCCTGCATAATCCAGTCATATGAGCTCTTGGTTGTATAAAATGGTGTCTGGTTAACCAACTGCAGCAACCTACATACACAACATCAAGACCTCAAGAACAAAAATGATCACCTTAGCCTTTCAGGTTCACCCTTGCCTTCCTCTCTTGCCGCACGAAAAAGTTCTTGAGCCATCCCCAACAACAGCAAACGTCGGAGCCTAGAGGGATTCTTTTTTCATTTGGATTTGTCATGTAGAGCTTAAGGGGTAGGCCATTAGAGACTTCGTGGTTTTCTTGGGCTACGTAGAGTGGGCATGATTCTGTAGCTCCGCCACAACGGAACCAGGCAGAACAACCAGCAGTAAGCAGGAACACGCAGCTGGCAGTTCAGCAGCCTGGCAAAACAAAGATAGCATCCAACAGCAGCAGCTAAAGATCTAAGAGGATGAGATACTGTTTAAAATACCTTCCCACATTGGAAATTGTCTTACTTCTAACTTACTTCTTCTTAAACTAATAGAACCCAGAAAATTAGAAGCTAATAAAAATAATATTGAAAATTCTAAACTAACAAAACCTTAGAAAATGCCAATATATTTCAGAACTAATAACCTATAATAATATTGAAAATTCTAAACTAACAAAACCCTAGAAGATGGACATACTCTTCACATTGCTCAAGGTATCATGTAAAACTAAATTACAAACTAACCAACAAAAACCTGGCCTATTTTACCTTCTTATTTTAAACTACAAATTGACCATTGCACCGAATTCAACTGGTACGAAAATGCATAGGTAAAGAGACTAACATAACATCAATAGCATACAAGTTTTATCATCAATAATTCTACAGAGCTAGCAAACATGTAAAAATGACAAAAAAAAAAAATTATTAACAAAAGCTCAGCATAAACATCAACTAAACAGATACTTACACAAGAGGATAAAATCATTAATAGCTAATAATTTCAGTAAAGAAAACTGAACTAGATAAGAAAAACAAAATGTTAAACATATACTCTTAACAAGTTAAGCAAATACTCATTAGAATCAGTACCTTGATGTCATACTCAACACTGAGTTATTCAGTCCTAGTGAGAGTAGTCTTCTTCTCCACCTCGACTTGCAACTCGGCCCCTCTAAGGGAAACAGCCTGCTCAGCCTCAATTTCTGCCAACTGAGCTGACTATGACCAACCGGCCTTCAAAGCAGCAAACTCGACATTTTCTTTTCAACATCAGCCTCTTTCTTGTTCAAGACTATTATTAAAAATTACAACCCCATTTTCTCAATTACATATAACAACAATCCCTTCTAGAAAAATGTACTATTACAAAATGGTTTTTCTTAATTTTTGATTCAAATGACAGTAAGCAATCATTAATAATCCATAAGATAAACATGATGCAATCATCGCAATTAAAAGCACGGTAAACTATTCACATGCAAACCAAATCAAAATTCAACAGAAGCCCATTTGATTCAATCAAAATTCGAAAAAGCACATATTTTTAGGGTTATTTGATTCAATTATCAAATTATGCTCGAAAAATAACATATTTTAAGGGATATTTGATTCAATTACAAATTAGGGTCGAAAATTCAAAGGTAAATTTGATTCAAAAATCAAAAAAAGTTGAGATTTCGAACCCTAAACTTATCGCATTGACAATTAAAATGAATCAGATTCAAACAACAAGTTACCTCAGAAGCTGCCTCTTCAATGGGGGATACACGGATTAGAAGGCGCCGCCTGCTTGAAACTAAACCTTAACCACCGAAACTCACTCCACCAAGAAATACTCAACACTCACCCGAAAACACCCACCCAGAAAATTCGAAAACACTCACTCCAAAAACGATTGATCTAGAAAGAGAAAGCGAGAGTATATATTTAGAGGGGGAGGTGGCCGCCGCCGGTGGAGAAGGAGATCGAAGGAGAGAGAAAAGGAAAGGGAAAGAGAAAGAAAGAAAGACAGAAAGAGTATAATTTCAGAAGCAGACCGGGTTTTTTTTAAGCAATAGCATCGCACCGGTTCGGTTAGAACCAGTGGGAAAAACTCACTTTTCGCACCGGTTTGGTTGAAACCGGTGCGAAAACTCTATTTTCCAATCCCATCCATTTCTTTTCCCACCGGTTTCCAAGAACCGGTGCGGAATTCAATTTTCTACTAGTTCCCACCCACCGAAGTCTCCTTTTGTTCTGCAGGTACAGGCGTCCTGAGGTCAGTCTTGGAATTGTAACTCTCCCGAAGGACATAAAAAAACCCCGAAATATTTGGCGCCATCTGTGGCGAGAGTACTTCAAAGATGACTTCACAAGAACCTGTACCACCTCCTAATGAGAAGAGGCCTACGGCCGACGTCCAGGTCTTCTCAGACCAAGATACAAATGACGACTATGAAGTCGCCATCCATACAACCCCTGACAGGTCCCTTAGGACACGCCGCATCCGCCCTACTAAAAGGAGGGAACGAAACACTGACCAGGTAGGCCCCAGTGAAACAGTCGGCCAGCCGGCAGGTCAGCCTAAAATGGCCGAAGGATCCACCCCCATCACTAGAAATGAGCTCATGACCCTCATGACAACTTTCAAAGGGGAGATAAAGGATCTTATTCATAAACGGACGGCTGTCCCTACCTAGGAACAGTCGGCCAAGAAACCCTCCTATTCTGGGAGGAAAAAGTCGGTCAAAGACCGAGAGGCCACTCCTTACCCTAAACCAAGAGAGGGACGTAAGCCTTTGATAAACCTGGCTGGACTGCAGTTCCCCGAGCCAGGGCAGAGGAAGGTCATTTGGCATATACAGCCGAATGGTTCAAGAAAACATATTCCGATGCTTGGATGATAATCCAGCAAAAGAAGAATATGCAACTGTCAGAGTCGGCCTCCACGTCGAACTTCAATGACATTTTCAGAATGCCTCGCTGAGGTATTCTCAGTCAAATCAAGAAGACTAGACAGGCGCCCAGTCCGCCCATTCTAGTCCTCAAATGTTCCAGGCGGCCCCGTATGTGCCTCAACAACCATACATGCCGTATGGACCATATTACATGCAGCCTACCCTCTTCGAGGGGCAGACAGCACCCAACATCCAACCTTTGGATTGGCAGCTCCGACTGCTCAAATTTGGGAAACAACCTTCAGCTTTCTCCAAGGAAATAACTGAGGCCGCACAGCCGGCCAAGGTGAAGAATGTGTTGGTAGGCACTTATGATGGTACCTCCAACCCAGAAGACCACCTGATGACATACACCAACCTTATGTATCTACAAGGGTTAGATGATGCTACTTGGTGTAGATGCTTCCCGGCCACATTGAAGGGCGTCGCTCAGCAATGGTTCGGCAACCTGCCAGCCGGATGCATCAATAACTTTAAGACGCTGGCATACTTTTTCGTGTAAAACTTCTCAATGAACATCCCTGCAAAGAAGACAAGTCTTGACTTGTGTGCCATACAGCAGGGAGAGAAAGAAGGGCTGCGCTCATATATCAGGCGCTTCAATCTGATGAAAATTCAGATTCAAGGGCTGTCTGATGAGGTAGCTTACACAGAATTTTTCAAAGGTCTGAAGGGCGGGTCGGCTGTCAAGTTCGACCTTGTTAGAAAGAGGGTGGCTACCCTCCAAGAGGCACTGATGGAAGCGGACGCCTATATACAGGCGACCGAGCTCTGCAACATCAGTAAGTAGTCGGACACAAAGAGGTCCGACAGGAAAGAGAGTCTGCCATTAAGGCCGGCTAAGAAAGAAGAAAAGAAAAGAAAACAAGTCTGGGTGGCTGAATCCTCTGAACAGCCGTCCTAGAAGAAAAAGAAAGAAGTAAAGACGTACTCCCCAAAGTACGAATTTAATAAAGAGTGTTACTCCATCCTCATGGAGATAAAGGATCGGGTCTCTATTGACAAGCCGGTTCCTATGAAGGGTTCCGCCAAGAATCGGAACAAAAACAAATACTGCCATTACCATGAGGATATTGGCCACGACACCAACGAATGCTATAGCCTCAAGCGGTTGTTGGACCGTATGGCTGATAAGGGAGTCCTCAAGTCTTACATCTTGAGGTCCAAGGTTACCTTGCAGACTAACCCTAGACAGTCGTCCAAGAGGAAGCCCCACTCTGCTAATAGCGTGGATACGGATGAAACACCGATCTATACAATAGAAGGTGGCTTCGCTGGAGGCGACCCCACCATCCAGGGCAATAAAGACTATGTTAGGCGCCTCGATGTTAACTCAGTCGACGAGTGATAGGTGATTAGGGGATTTTGCTCCCACCAATCGGAATGCGCCACGTGGACCAATCAGGTGCTGCCAAGTGTCCCCCAGTTGGAACATCCAGGGCTTTCCACGTGGCACGCGCTTATTCGTCCACCTTGGACCTGTTATGTCACGACATGTGGCATACTCTATGCCTAATGGAGAAACCGGCCACCCAGGCCCAACTTCCGAGGGAAGCCCAATCGGCCCTAGGTTAACCTAAACCTAGGATGGGCACGTTTTCCAAGGTTATAAATACCTCCCTTAATCCTCATTAAGGGGGAACACAGAAACATTACGGGAAAAACACATTAATTACACACAGTAATAACCGGCTGATCTCGCTAACAAAGCAGATTACCTACGTTAATCACTCTCACCTAGAGAGACCTAATCACTTTAATTTCCGCATTAATTACTCCTTAATCAGGTACTAACTTGACCGTTGGAGGCGGAGCTCACAGGAGTCTCCGTTATTTTGCAGGTACAGGCGTCCGGTTCCAGTCTCGGAATTGTAACTCTCCCGCAGGACATCAGAAAACCCCGAAACAATAGGCGTGTCGCGTACCTAACAAAATATAACCTAACTGACCACTACTATGTAGCAGGGCAAGCAAGGGTCGAATCCCAAGAGACTAAGGTTCAAATATAATTAAATAGACTAAAATTCCTACTAAGCAAGAATCAATAATGATCGATTAACTAAGGAACTAATGTATGGAAAATTCGAAAATAAACTAAAGAATATGAAGAAATTAAGTAATTAAAACATCCAAGATCTAGTATCACCACAATTACGCTTTATGCAATTATATTTCTACCCCTAACATACAATTCTAATTGAACGGGGAAAAGTAAACCCTAATAAATACCAAAGACCTCTCTCGAGTATCAATGGCTTCCCTAACATACAATCAAGCCTATTCTCATGGTATCATGCATATTAGAGACATTGAACACATTACTCTAACTTCCCAATTATTAAACCCAACTACTCTTGTGTTGAATATCAAACCCTAAATTGATCTACTCAAAACCGTTTAAACCCAACTCTCGTTGTGATAGAAACAATGGAATAATCGCAATACTAAATTACGTCTAACCTAGTATTGGCATAATCACAATCAATTTAGCATAGCAATTGCAAGAGTTATTAGAGAATTTAAAGATTTAATTCATGCATCAATCATAATTGGGCTACCCTAGATATTGGAATAGGAAATCTACTCTTACATATTGAAGGAAATAATAACAAAAATAATTGAAGAAAACATAATTAAGAAACAAGAAAATAAAATAAAATACCGAATCTTGAATTGAATTGAAGGAGGAAAGTGTAAATCTTGAATCTTGAATTACAAAAGTAAAGAAAATAAAATAGAGAGAACTAGTTTTTAATAACGTAAAATAAAAGGCTAGAATAAAACTTAATGAAATAATAAAACACCACTTAGTGTAAATATAAGCCTAGAAATATAAGAAAATCGGCAAAAGGCTTGACGCATAAGAATCCCAGGAGGCACGGACGTGCCTACCTGCGTGCATAAACTTGGGTAGCTTCTGACTTCCAGGCACGGACGTGTCTAGGTGAGGCACGAACGTGCCTCCCCTGCCGCGCGTATCACTCATTTTAAATCAGTCATAATTTCATATTCGGAGCTTCGTTTGAGGCATGTAATATATTGTTGGAAAGGTTTTCAAGTCTACTTTCCAATGCAATTTGAATCAATCCATTATCATTTGTATATCAAAAGTTATGAGCATAATAGTGAACAGGTGTCATATTTTTCAAGTATTTCATCTACGTTTTGCTTCATTTTCACTTAATTAGCTCCGTTAATCCTGAAATACATCAAAAACAACGAAACTACCCATAAAAGCATCGAATCATCGAAACTAAACCAAATTACACCAAAAATAGACTAAAACACTCGACTAAGCTAATAAAACCAACCAAAAATAAGCTAACAAATATGCACAAAACACGACTTATCAAACTCCCCCAAGCTAGAGCATTTAACCATGAATCACAAGGGAGGAGAAAGACAATTTCTCAAACCATCATAATGTGCCATCAATTTGAAATCACGAGGAAAACAAAAATTAGAGTTAATATGCATAAAACCACCATAAACCTCTTAAATTTGGAATCGACAAACATCTTACCACACATCTCCCCATACCAACTCACACAAACATGAATAGCTCTCACTTTAGTAGTGAAAAATAAAAAACAAATAACGCTCATGTGTTTACAGGGTGAAATACGATATCACTCAACGTAAGCATAGAATGCATGTCAACTTCACATGAATTGTCCTCTTTAGGCTTGGAATGTGACTTTCTCCCCTTCTAATGATTGATGCAATTACGAAAATCATGAAATCCATAAGGGGTAAGCTCGGTAAATAAGGGTTGGACGACGTAATTTGGGAATGTGGTGCTCAAAATATAACAAATCCTAATCCCACTACACATTCAAATGTCGGGTTCAAGCCAACCTTATTTCCTCCAACTTCATATAATATAAACATAGCCCTTTTATTTCTTTCTTTTTTTTTTCATACTCTTTTTTTTCTTTTTTCTTTTTTTTTTCACAAAAGAAAGGGACTCATAGCAAATTAGGAATTAGGAAGACCTTTAAAGGCTTTTAAAACTCTTTTTCTTTCTTTCTTTCTTTCTTTCTTTTCCTTTCTTCCTTCCTTACTTCTAATAAATCAACCTTCTTTCTCTTTCTCTTTTTCTTTTTTTTTCATTTTTTTTTCATATATCACTCATAGGGCTTTAACAAGTGTAATGATCCTTCAAAATAAACCTAGGAAAATAGCTCTATGGCTTTAAACGTAGGGTATCAAGAAGGGGTTAAAACACGGCTCAAATTGGCTCAACCTATGGGTGAATGAAAAATAAAAAAAATTATGTAGGCCTAGAATGTGGAGGCTCTATTCTCTACAAGGAAATTTCAATCATTTTTTCGCAACATGCATCATTCAAGTCTCAAACAGTCAAGGAGCAAGACCAAGAATTCGATTATGTGAAGGACAACTAATCACACATGAAAAAAAAACACGACTGAGATAGAGTGAAATCAGTCAAATATGGCTCAAAACTCTCACCGGGTACACAAGCTATTCACATAAGTAGAGCGGGGAGACCATCCTGGCCACAAACCAACTCAATTCCAAGCAAATCGGTGAATGGGTTTTCGAAAACTATTTTCGCAAAGCACACATATATGATTGTTATCATAGAAGTATAGGCATGTAAAGGCATATCAATCAACACTAAAAAGAAATAAACTACCCAAATACTAAAAGAAAACTAAAATATACAAGGTGAAAAGTGAATCGTCCCCCAAGCTAAACCATACATTGTCCTCAATATATGCATATAACAGTGTAAATGGATAAGGAGAGAGGGAAATAAATCTACTGATCAGGAGGGGTAGGGGGAAAACCATACCTCGGGTCGGTGCTAGGACCGCCCTGAAAATGCTGACGCATCATGCCCCTTCCATGGAGTCCTCCTTCGTAGAATCTGTTCTTTTCACCTGCATAAAGAGAGAGAACTAAAAAAAAAGAACACTAATAAATAAATCTAAAATCAAAATAAAAATAAGAAAAAAATAACCAAGTAAAAGATCGAGAATGGGTTGCCTCCCATTTAGCACTTGTTTATAAGGTCTTTAGCTTGACCGTAGTGATAGCTCAGCCTGGGTCACCACACGAAGAAGGAACTCCGCGATGTTGCCCATGAAAATATCTGCTTCCAAGTGACTCCTTCATTTTATAATTGACTTGCCTTGTATCCGAACTCACCTTCATATGGCCAAACACATCATCGGGTGGAATTTTGTCCTTGCTTCTCACGAACATTCTATCAAATACATACTTATCAACCAAGGGGTTAGTAGCATCGATTCTTAAGCAAGTACCACCATCAAATATAGAATTATGTTCATCAGAGAGATTGAACATGACTTGTTTATCCTGGGCCCTAATGGTGACTTGTCCTTTAGGAACATCTATTAAAGCTTGACTTGTGGCAAGGAATGGACGACCAAATATAATCAGGATCTTATGGTCTTCTTTCATGTCCATAACAACAAAATCAATAGGAAAAACAAGTTCACCAACCTTAACTAATACATCTTCAACCACACCCTTAGGGAGTCTAGAGGTCCTATCAGCCAATTGAAGAGAAATAGGGGAAGGTTTAAGTCCTTTCAAGCCTAAACTCTCATATAATGAATAGGGCATTAAGTTAACACTAGCACCTAAATCTCACAAAACCCTGTCGAAATTTTTTTTCGTTTATCGTGCAGGGAATAGTGAAACTACCAGGATCATGCAACTTAGGTGATAGGTTATCATATAAGAGAGTAGGGCCTTTCTTATTTACTACTTCCTTATCCTCATGTTGATCTTTAATATTCTTCACAAAATTTGCAAATTGAGGCATTTGAATTAAAAGATCAGAAAAGGGAGTAGAGGCGTGTACCTTCTTAAGAGCTTCGCAGTATTTCACAAAATGTATATCGAGTACGGATTTTGACAACCTTTGCGGGAAAGGCATTGGTTCCTCATAAGCCGGTGGAGCAACATATTTGGGGCCTTGGACATCTTTTCCCCTTTCATCTTTCCTAGACTCCACACTGCACACCTTCTCACCTATTTGCCTCGGAGATGGTTCATCTCTTCTCAAGAAAACTGCATTGCATTGTTCTTTCTGGACCTTTGCTTGATCATGAAGAGTTGATAGGCGACTCACCTGTTGTGAAAGCTGACTTATTTGGGTTTCCATGAGCTTACTCTGGGCTTGCAACTGTTGGATGGAGCTACCTTGTTGTTGGATGGCACTATTAGTTGTGGTAATGAAGCTCTCCATCATCAACTCAAGGCTAGATTTTTGGGGAAGTAGTTGCGTTGGTTGTTGGTTCATAGGTGTTCTTTGTTGGAAACCGGGTGGTGAGTTGTAGTTGTTGGATAGGGATGGTTGTGATGGTGGATTATGTTGTCCTTAGGTGTTCTTATAAGAGAAGTTGGGATGTTGTTTCCAACCTTCTTTGTAAGAATTAGAGTAAGGATCAAAAGGTTGTTTGGGGTTCGAAGAGTAGAAAGCATTGGCTTGTTCAATAGACATCTCACTTATATTCTGCGGGCAATCCGGTGTGATGTGGCCCTGCACATTGCACAATTGACAAACCTCCAGTGGGCTAGTAGAAGTTCCAGATTGGAACTTATCAAACCTGCTTGTTAGTGCCTGCACAGAACTGGCTAACATAGTCAAAGCATCTACATCAAGCTTACCTCCTTTTTTCACATTTTGACGACCTCATGGATGATAATTATCATTGGCTACCATCTTCTCAATCAGCTCCTTTGCCTCAGTTGGGTTCTTTGTCAAGAGAGAACCCCCTGATGCAGCATCAATGTAGATTCGGAACTCATGGGTTAGGCCATTATAGAAGGTTTGAATCAACAGCCACTCTAGGATACCGTGATGAGGGCATTGTCTCTGTAACCTCTTGAACCTTCTCCAAGCCTCATAGAGAGACTTGTCATCTGACTGTCGAAAGGTGGATAGCTCGTTCCTCAACCTGGAAGTCTTCTCATGTCCCAAAAACTTCACTAAGAAGGCCTTCACTAGCTTGTCCCATGTATTGAACAAGCCAGTGCCTTCATCTCTCAACCACTCTTTCGCCCTATCCCATAGTGAAAAAGGGAAAAGGCGAAGTCTGATAGCATCATCTGTAACACCATTCATTTTCATAGTATCACATTTCTCCAAGAAACTATCAATATGACTTATTGGGCAATCATGTGGTGTGCCTGCAAATGAATCATTAGAGATGAATTGAATGAACTGTGGTTTCAATTCGAAGTGCTGAGCAGTGACAGGTGGCCTGACAATGCTAGAGAGGGATATCGTACTCCAAAAGAGACTTCGTGGCATCTTCCATGTTTCTGTTGGCTTGGTTTCTCCTTCTTCTTCTACCTGCTCGTCTTCTTGCGGTCGCTTCGATCTCAGAAACAAAAGAAATTAAATCGTATGATCCTGAACCTCGAGTTTGCATGCAACAAGGAACTAAAGAAGAGTATCAAAAACACAAGAAACAATAGCTGAAGCAACGAATGAGGCTTAGTAAAAACGAATCACAAATAATCAAATGAAACCGTTAGTCCCCGGCAACGGCGCCAAAATTTGATAGGCGTGTCGCGTACCTAATAAAATATAACCTAACTGACCACTACTATGTAGCAGAGCAAGCAAGGGTCGAATCCCAAGAGACTAAGGTTCAAAAATAATTAAATAGACTCAAATTCCTACTAAGCAAGAATCAATAATGATCGATTAACTAAGGAACTAATGTATGGAAAATTCGAAAATAAACTAAAGAATATGAAGAAATCAAGTAATTAAAACATCCAAGATCTAGTATCACCACAATTACGCTTGATGCAATTATATTTCTACCCGTAACATACAATTCCAATTGAACGGGGAAAAGTAAACCCTAATAAATACCAAAGACCTCTCTCGAGTATCAGTGGCTTCCCTAACATACAATCAAGCCTATTCTCATGTAATCATGCATATTAGAGACATTGAACACATTACTATAACTTCCCAATTATTAAACCCAACTACTCTCGTGTTGAATATCAAACCCTAAATTGATCTACTCAAATCCGTTTAAACCCAACTCTCGTTGTGATAGAAACAATGGAATAATCGCAATACTAAATTACGTCTAACCTAGTATTGGCATAATCACAATCAATTTAGCATAGAAATTGCAAGAGTTATTAGAGAATTTAAAGATTTAATTCATGCATCAATCATAATTGGGCTACCCTAGATATTGGAATAGGAAATCTACTCACACATATTGAAGGAAACAATAAAAAAAATAATTGAAGAAAACATAATTAAGAAACAAGAAAATAAAATAAAATACCGAATCATGAATTGAATTGAAGGCGGAAAGTGTAAATCTTGAATCTTGAATTACAAAAGTAAAGAAAATAAAATAGAGAGAACTAGTTCTTAATAACATAAAATAAAAGGCTAAAAAAAAATTAATGAAATAATAAAACACCACTTAGTGTAAATATAAACCTAGAAAAAAGATAAGAAAATCGGCAAAAGGCTTGGCGCACAAGAATCCCAGGAGGCACGGACGTGCCTCCTCATAGGCACGGACGTGCCTACCTGCGTGCATAAACCTGGGTAACTTCTAACTTCCAGGCACGGACGTGCCTCCCTTGCTGCGCGTATCACTCATCTTAAATCAGTCATAACTTCATATCCGAAGCTCCGTTTGAGACGTGTAATATATTGTTGGAAAGGTCTTTAAGTATACTTTTTAATTCGATTTGAATCACTCCATTATCATTTGTATATCAAAAGTTATGAGCATAATAGTGAACAGGTGTCATATTTGTCAAGTATTTCATCAACGTTTTGCTTCATTTTCACTCAATTAGCTCCGTTAATCCTGAAATACATAAAAAACAACGAAACTACCCATTAAAGCATCGAATAATCGAAACTTAACCAAATTACACCAAAATAGACTAAAACACTCGACTAAGCTAATAAAACCAACCAAAAATAAGCTAACAAATATGCACAAAACACGACTTATCAACGAGGGACAGGCGTCCAAGGACTACTTCCCTGAAGTCGTTATTACTAAGGAGGACAAGGGCAAAATCAAGAGGCCGCATGATGATCCCATTGTCAACGAATGCAAAATGGCCAATCAAAGAGTTGGCCGGATCCTCATTGATACTGGGAGTTCGTCTGATCTCATCAGTCACAAGTGCCTGGCTAAGCTCAGGTACAAGCTCGAGAGTATGCACCAGGTCTCTCATCCCTTAGTAGGATTTGGGGGTGGAGTGGTACATCCGGTAGGTCGCATAGACCTACCCATTCGTCTAGGCGAGAAGGGAGAAGGACGCCACATGGTGGTTCGGTTCTTAGTTGTTGAAGAACTTACGGCCTACAACATGATTTTGGGGCGCCCTACCCTTAATGAATCCAAAGTTGTTATCATCCCTTCCCTTATGATTCTTAAGTTTGAAAGGGATGATGAAACAACATGCTCCCTACGGGGAGACCAGAAGATGGCCAGAGAGTGCTCCCCTCTCTGATGTTAAGCCCACTATGGTCGCAGCCGGCCCCAGTGGAGAAACAACCGATCTTGACCAAGTCAAGGATGCCGCACCTGCTACAACAGCAGCCGGCAAGAAGAGAAAGGACAACCAAATGATGGCTGAGAAAAAAGACAAGCAATAGCAATCGCTGACCGGTTAAAGGCCAGATGAACTCCGTCCTTAGCCGGCTGGTGAACACATGGACATCGTCCTAGATGACTCCTGTCCCGACCAGACTGTTAAGGTCGGGACGATTGCTTTTGTTAAACTTGGTGTGGACTTGCATCACTTGCTGAAAGAATTCAAAGACATTTTTGCCTTTGAAGTGGACGAGATGCCAGGCATCAGTCCGGATCTAGCCGTCCACAAATGTGCTGTGGATCCCAAAAAGAAGCGGTAAGGCAAAAAAAGAGGAACCATGGTGAAGAAAGAAGCCAGGCGGCAACCGCCGAGGTGAAAAAGTTGTTAGATGCTGGTTTCATTCGGCAATGCTACTTCCCTGATTGGGTTGCCAATGTTGTGCTTGTAAAAAAGCCAAATGGAACCTGTCGCATGTGTGTAGACTACACAGACTTGAACAAGGCATGTCCGGAGGATAGTTATCCCTCTCCCAAAGATCGACAGTCTGGTCGACTCTACAGCCGACCATGCCTTGATGAGCTTCATGGACGCCTATTCAGGCTTTCACCAGATACCCCTATGGAAGAAAGATCAAGAAAAGACGGCATTCCTCACTGATCAGGGGATGTTCTGCTATACTGTGATGCCGTTTGGTTTGAAGAATGCGCCTGCCACTTTTCAAAGAATGATTAATACAGTCTTCGTTAATCAAATAGGAAGGAATGTGGAGGCATATATTGATGATATGATTGTTAAATCCAAACACCAAATGGACCATCTTACAGATCTCTAAGAAACATTCGCCACACTCAGGCGGCACCAGGTCATGCTAAATCCCAAGAAATGGGTTTTTGGTGTTGAGTCTGGGAAGTTCCTCAGATTTCTGATTGATCAAAGGGGGATAGAGGCCAATTCGGAAAAAATACAGGCGGTCATGGACATGCAGTCGCCCCGCACTGTAAAGGAAGTTCAAAAACTAACAGGTTGTCTGGCGGCATTGAGGAGATTCCTCAGTCGGTCAGGCGACAAGTGCCTCTATTTCTTCCAAGCAATCAAGAAGAAGACTATGTTTGAATGGGGGACGGATGCAGAGGCGACCTTCCACAGGTTTAAGGAACACTTGCACTCTTTGTCAAGGCTCGTCAGCCCTTTATCAAAGGAAGTGTCGTACATGTACTTGGCCGTCTCTGATCATGCTCTTAGTGCCGTTCTCCTTGCTGAAAGAGATGGCTGCCAGCTCCCCGTTTATTTCATCAGCCATGTTCTGAAGAATGCTAAGTTATGGTACCCCATGGTTGAAAAATTAGGCTTGGCCCTCTACATGGCAGTTAAGAAGTTGAAGCCTTACTTCTTGGCACATCCGGTCGTGGTCTACACTGATCAGCCGATCAAGTGGCCACTAACAACCATGGAATCATCCGGCCGAATGATTAAGTGGGAAATTGAAATGCAAAGCCTAGAAATTACTTTAGAGCCAAGGAAAGCAGTGAAGGGGCAGGCACTTGCCAACTTCATTGTTGAAATGACCAGGCCGACTGATCCGGAAAATCCAGACCAAGCCTGGAAGGTATATGTGGACGGGAGCTCCACAATGAATGGCTGTGG